GAGGCTGCCGAACGTGCTCAATCGAGGATTCTTCCAGGACACGTTGCTTGGAAAGGGTCCTCGCCATCGATCTCTGCAGTGGTAATCCTTACGCCACAAAAACTGCCGAATGTGTTGCAGTGTTCATTCGTTTGCATCAATCTTCGTTCCGGTGGTGCAATCGAACCCTTCATGACCCTTATATAATGTTTCCGATAGTGCAAGCTCTGCTACCAATACCCGCGGTTGGAAAGCTGACATTGCTGACTGCTTCAGACAGCTTACCTTCCAAAATTCACGGCATGTTCCGCTGTTGAAGCCTCTGAGATACCGAAGCGGCAACAAGAAAAACATAATGCAAAAATTGACTAATGTCAAATGTAGAATCTTGATTCAGGCTTTACAATCCAAATAAGGGGTAAGGTTCATGAATCAAGAGTCTACATTCACTCAACCAACTTAGGAGTCAACTTTGGCTCAAACTGTTTCCTCAAATTCTCCAGGTCGGCATCGAGGCGCTCTTGCCGTGCGGTGAGCAAACGGTCTTCCTTCTGACAATCTTCCGAGGTATCTGCGCCACCCGGCCGCAGTTTGGGTTTCATCAATTCATGACCCTCCTCGTTCATCACAGTTAAATCATCAAAGTAGCCCTGCTCCAAGAAGGAGGACAAGGCTGCCTGATGAAGCCAAGGAGATAACAGGTGTAGAAACCCCAAAGCACGAAGGTTACAACCGGTCACTCATTGCGGCGACACACGTGTACATATTACATCGGATCGTTGTGATGACTTGAGGAAAGGCTCTAGTCTATATTGCTCTATGTTCGAGAGGTATACATACAAGAGGCTCCAGGCTCCACTGTTGGCCAAGTGGCTCTTCTCGATGGACGGCTTCCGACTGGCAGATAGGCCGATGTGTCCCAATGACAAGCATTCCAGAGCTTCGGCATGGCACGACGTGAAGTAGAAGGGATGCACGACACCAACAGTGCTCTGCTGCTGTGTTGCTCTGTCCATCGTGCCGTGCTCCGTGCAGCGGCGTCGACTGATGTCTGGAGTCGAAAAAGTGTTGGGTTCCTTTGTCCGGGTGCATGAGCGAACAGGTGAAAAAAGAAAAGCACGTGAAGTCGGTTCTTGTGACGTCGGTTTGACGAGCTCGATTTCACACATTCCCATGTCTATATATCATATTCTGCCTTCATCCATCTACACAACTCTCTGTGTTTGACAAATGGCGCCTTTGTTCTTTGTGTGAATCACAACCAGAACAATCGTGGGCTGCATGGTGTTCTTCCCTCTTCAACATTCAAGGCTCTAGCATGTTGGAGGAGTTGTTCTAATGTATCATGGTGTTCGCCTGTTGCCAGCCCATACAGCAAATCATTCCCGTGGGTTTTCCACTGGACCACTGCCTTTTTTGCCGCCGAACAAACCAATCTCCACCTGCGAACGTTGCCAAAAAGCTTGGTGTAAAACAGAGACGCCAAAGCTTCTGAGAGGGGCAATCCTTTTACTCACCATCTGGCACCAATCCTTCACAACCCCTGGAAGGTCCAAGGCTCTTCTTTGCGCGGTCCGAGGCCCGCTTTCGGCGGCCTGCGAAAGCGAAGCAGGAGAGCGGAGAGCTCACTCGGCTGCTTGGATGGCTGGAGTGTTCAGCGGGTTGCAGCTTTTGGACTTGAAAGATGTCCCAGCGAAAGACCAGAACGCTCTTCTTTCCGGCTAGAGGCCTAAAGCGAAGCAAAAGTGCCCAATGGTTGTGACGACGTCCAATCATGTGTTGGTTTTCAACTGCCGATGTGTCCGATTGCAGCTCATCCAGATTTCGTCCCAAACTCCCCACATCCCCACTCTTCTGAGTGACCAACTGTGCACCGGCGGCTCTGAGTGACAAGTGGACTTGGGCGGTTCAGGCCTTGGTGGAGTTCCGCGTCTTCTGGGAGGGTTCAAAAGCAAGTGGTGTAAACTGTTTGGAGATGGGCAGAAAGGAAGGGAAAAGAGAAGGGTCCCGGTCCAGGGAGTCCAGAGGGTCCAAAACGCCCATGATATCAAGGAGTAGAGTTTTGGTCGTCGCGAAGGCCGCGCTACCACCAGGTCATGATGACTCTAGTGACACGCTTGACAGTTGGTAAAGGAAACATCAACCGAAGCGGTTGTCCACTGGAATATTGGAGCCTATCCGATGAATGAGAACCCGGCAGCGTGAACCTCTTAGCAGGTCTGGAATATTGGGTTTGCATTTCAACCATGTCTCGCCAGCTGCCTGGTTCGTTCGATGTCAAGTTGTTTCTCCTAACCCAAAAAAACACCAGGCCCCACACGTGACCACAGCCACTCTTCGGGTGAACTGCTCCTCTTGCGACTCATGTATGCTCGTGATCTGATGGAACGGAAAGATCGATGTGGATCAAGTTGTTGGATATTGTTGGCAGAAGCGACTATGCGCACACAGCTGAAAATGACCACGCATTATATCCTTGTTGGATGAGAAAAGGTGATGAACAAAATCCCAAAGGTTTGTGCAACATGACATGTATGCTTCCCGTTCGTACTTGCCACTTGCCCCACCCTTCAAGCCATTTCGCAGGAAATAAGAATAATGGCATGCATCTCAAGAGTTTGTGTTAAACAAAACAAATCAAGTACACTACGTCACTAAGCACGTTATTTTCTCCACTATATTACATGTGTGTTCTCAAACCGATTGACGCCCGCATACCCGCTCATGTTTGAAACCGATGCTCTGCGCTAAGTAGTCTTACTGAAACCGATGCTCGGCAGCTGCTCGTCCTCGTCCTCCGCTTGAACATCTGGTCGCAGCAGCTGCTCTTCACTGAAGACATTCTCGTGCACGTCTGCGGCCTAGCCCAGCGCAAACAGGGACAGGCTGGGTGGTCTCTACTTGGTGACGAGGGTCCAAGGATTTCATGTCCCTAAACAGAAACCAGCGCTCGTTTAGGCCCTGCGACTGAAAACACGTTTATTCTTGGAAATCAAGAATCCTGTAAGGCACAGGAACGAGCTTCACACACCCAGAAGCTTCACAGACACTGAAAAGCTGTTTTGACACAGCCTACCAGAGTCTTACAGGAAACTGCTTTCCATGAACGTTTGCAGAGTTCAATTCTGATGTGGACATTTCAAAAGCACAATCCCTGTTGTCAATAATGTCTGAATTCTGGAATGTGTTAAGCCAATCTTTCGGTAGGTTTTACGCTAGCTGTCAGTCTTCTTTGTGACTTCCTGGCTGGCTCTGTTTGTGAGGAGAAAAGGAAGCCCTTTCGATTGTGGTAGGCAACTTGTTGGTTCTGAGCTTTGCGGCAAATGGGGCGCGCCACCTATTGCTATATTGTAAAACTATAAAACTCATTGTTTAGTCTGTAATTCAATCACGCGGTTCAAAGCCGAAAAGTTGCCTAGGACCAGTGTATATAGACACTCCTCCCAAAGTAGGGCGTCAACAATAGAAAAGCATGGAAAGACGACCCCTGCAATTCGCATTCTGAGCACAGCACCATGATGTGATCTACCTCAATCATCCCAAGGTTGAGCAAAAGAAACATGCACCGGGGCAAATCCCCGGGAATACCGCTCACAATCCATGATCTCAAAAGTACCAGCAGGCGGCCATATCTCTAAAGCACTAAATCAGTTTGCCATGGCTCGGGATTCATACCGGGATCTCTGAATTCCAAACGCAGGATTATTCCTTAATGGATATTAGGGAAAGTGTCACGGCCAGATTGAAGGACCTTGAAGCTTCTGAGTCCCAACAAGCTATATAAAGCCTTTTCACTGTGCTCTGAAAGGTTAAGCTAGGTTGAGCAGCCACAACGCATCCAGTATCATCCAGTCATATTCTACTGCAACAAAGCTGAGACTGTCTACATGAAGCCAACTTGTTTGCATCTTTGTGGAATCTCAGCCCAACGAGTCCACCTCCAGCTCTGTCTCACCTTCCCGTCAACAGGGGGCTGATCCCTTTGCTGTTCCTGTTTTCCTCGGCTACACCGGCTGCCCCACCTGGATCTCAAGTCCACAACAAGGCCTTCCACTGGCACCTCAAGGCACCCGGAGCTCCAAAGGTGAGGGAGAAAGTCGATCCAAAGGTGGCCCAGCAGATTTTAACCATCAAACCCCCCAACTCCCCCAAACCCCAATCAATCACTGGCCCAGCAGTGCATGAGAATCACCGGATCTCAGTTTTACTACTCGAATTTCATGGGATCTTCCCAGCGCAGTTCTACGAGGAATTCAATGATCTACGCATCACAACTGCACCGGTCGGGTTTCATCCTCAAGACCCCGGCCAGCGCGTCAGATGCTCTCATCCTCCGCGTCCTACTGTAGGTTGTAGGCTGCTGCACAACGCCGGCACACCGCTGCACTTGATCAATTTGGGCCGTGAACGAACTGTATGCGGCTTTGAGACTGCTGCATCCGTGGCTTTGATGTTGTTGGGAATGAAACAGTATATTGTCTGTATGCATGATGTGCAACCTTTACCTCGACCCATGAGCAAACCCTCGCTCTAAGCCCAAACACCCCGCGGCATGACAGAAAGGACCCCGCTGCTCTTACTGTACTTTGGCCAATCGCACTTCGGAAGGGAACCCTGGTTTTTCTGGACTTTCTCGCTGCAAACGAAGATTCGCGGTGCTTCTACATTTGGAGTGCCAACAATTCTAGATGGTATGGACAAGGGGAGCACTTCGTTGCTGTCAGGTGCGTCCCAACAGCCCATCCAAATGGCAAGGGTCAACAGGACCTGGCCTGGGCCTGTAGTGAGGGAAAATGTACAAAATCCTTGCACTGTCACTATAATATGTCATTCATAGCTAGTTCCGTTTCGTTCAATTGTTTTTTGCTCCGTAAGGTCTCCCTAGTTTCTCCCAACAAAGGGCTCAGAAGAAGTGTCAGTGCCTCAAACGCTCAATCTTCACAACACTAGCTTTAGCACCCAGCCATTATGCAGCGTTGTTGTACACGTCCACCCTCACAACAGCTGGACAGCCATCTTTCCTCAAGCGCAAGTGGTCGGTCTGATGGCGAAGACGTCGATCGCCTCGCCGGGGCCTGGCAAACGGCATCGCCTCAAATTCACCAACTGACCCGTCTTGGCAAATAGGCCACGAGCTGACATCATCTGCAGAAATGTTCATGCAGTTGAGAAGGTTTACCTCAAAAGAAAGTCTCCCTACCAAGACGTGTTCATCTCAAAAGCGCAAAAACCGTTCCCTGGCTGAAGCCAATGCAAAGAATTCTACTATATACTAGCAGTAAGTATATACCTCCTTTTCATTCATTTCCATGACACTGTCATCGTCGGAATCGATTTTCCGGTGCTTGAAAAGAAGAGGTGCAGCTTTGCTTCCAGCAAATGGGAAGCAGAAAATCCTCGAACCGACTCGAATCTCCCGGCCTTACTCGAGTCTTGCGCTCACATGACTCGGTTGGAGGCCACATGGAGCGACCGTGGTCACCGGATTACTAAAAATGCATACTAATACTGCCACCACCTGAGGTAGCTCTTGGCTCTCTATTGTGGCAGTCATCTGTTTGAATGGCGCACAGTCATCTGTGCCTCAGTAGTAGGTGCCAACCTTTCGGTGATGCACCGCAGCAGCGGCGTTGGGACTTGCGACGTCTCCACCCACCACCTCAGCGTAGCCCACCCAATGGTCCGAAGCATCCATGCGAGAAATGATTTTGCACTCCAGGTAGGCACAAGCAGACCTGGCCCAGCGTCGCGCGACGTTCCAGTTCCGGTTCTGGAAGGGGTTCTTTTGGCAGCGGGGTTCTTAGGAACGAGCGACCAGCAATGGCTTCGATAGGGAAACGAAAAGAGGTGGGGCCAACGGCACAAAGAACATCACCGAGAAATGACCAGAGGCTGTCAAGCAACCAACCCAGGCACCATGTCGGACACATGGGTTTTTCAGGACACCCCCAATTCACTGAGACAGGGGCCTTCCTATTAAAAACAGAACCCTCATATGCACTCATTCCGCTGACTCATCTCATCCCCTGACTCATTCGCTGTGACACCCTCATCTGATGGACCTCATCCCCCTGACTCATCCAACTCGGCCTTAAGATGGCAGCTCCATTGGATCCTTCGATGTGTTCCACACCCGCCAAGCGATCGGCGCCCGGCGCGAACTTTTGCAGGAAGTGCTTCATGGCTTCCAGGGTTTGTGGTTTCCCTTCCTGCCGAACTCGGTCCGAACTCGCGAACTCGGTGCAGTCGTTGTTCTTTTCGAAGCGTCCACATGGTAGCAGGTGTTTTCTGTTTAAAGCATCATGTCCACTGTTAGGAAGAAGAAACTACTAGTAGCTTTGGGCATTACTAGTAGCAAGAAGCTAGCAAATCCAAGGGCATCGCGGCATCGAACGGAACAGCGGGCATCGCTACTCCGATCGAGAATCTCCGTCGGATCCGGTCGACAGGAGCGTTCGGGGTTGGTCCTCCAAGAGGTTCAAGGTGAAGCTGTCACCGATGCGAAGCAAAGGTTCCTAAAGCTGCGCCAATTGGGCAAAGGTGCAGAATGAGGACGCAAAGCGTGGGGTTGAACTGTATGCGCACGGTCAAAGGTAGAAATTCCCGAGAAATGGATGTAAAACCATTGAGGATTGAAATCGAGAGGGTTCTCTTTACCCTTCATCTACTCGAATTCCGCTATTAGCCTGCCAAAGGCTGCCGTCCAAGTGTCCATGGCTCGTTCTTTTGCGATGGTCACTGAAACTCCCAAGGGTTTGCTGGAGGCAGGGGTCACCCAGCTGGCGACCATCGCATGCCGCACCCCTGCCTTTTTGGCAGTCACTACATAAAGCGAGCTTGCCAAACGCCCCAAAGCTTTGGAGAGATCTTTGTCCTCAAAAGCAAACGCCGGAAATTCGGCCTTCCATCGTTCGCGTGTGTGTGTGTGTGTGTGGGGGGGTGCGGGTTGGTGACAAATCCCTAAGCCCGAGCAGTGTCCATAAACATCACTTCAAGTCCTTCAGGTTCACCCAACTTCGCCAGTCCTGACTCTTGGCAGCCTGCGCCTTGCCTTTTTGCGTCAGCTTCTTCCCGATGTTCATCCCCGCCTCCTCGAAGCAGTGCAAGACCTGCGCGCTGATCGGCCGCGCCGCCTCCATCGCTGGCAACGCCTCCGGGATGGAGGCTTCAAGCATGCGGCTCCGCAACAGCGGGAGCGGCTCCTGCGCGTCGTCGCCTCAGAGGCTCCCAGGGCGAACAGGCTTGGATTCTTGTGTTTCTTCCTTCCTGGTTGGTTTCCTTCCTTCCCGTTCTCCTTCCCTTTTCCTGCGGGTTTTCCCTCCTTGTGTCCTTCTTTCCTTCTGTCCTTCTGTCCTTCCTTCCTTCCTTCCTTCCTTCGTTCATGTTCTTTTCTCTTCTTTTCTTGTATTGTGTTTATTTCTATTTCGTTCTTTCAAGACCATAGAACACAGGAGCTTGTTGGACCGCTGCGGACTACTGCAAAAGGCGCTTCTACGGATTGTTTTCTGAGATAACTACAGGTGAGCTAGTTCTGAAGCACACCATCTTCACACCATCTCAATCGCCACCCATCTCACTCAGTCACAGCTGTCCAAGACCACGAACTGATGTTTTTTGGCTTTCAGATTCGCCCCAATGGACCCCACGTTGACCGCGGCGGTGGAGTTCCTCGGCGGCGCCGTGAAGGCCACCAGCTCGTTGCGGGCCACGCACTCGGCGATCTCGGTGGCATCCACCTAGGCCAACGGTCCGGACTCGGCCTTCGAAGGCCCCCCCGAAAAACCGAGCGTCCGAAGACGAGCTCCAAGCCACGTGGTTTTTGGGATGGTTTTGGAAGTCTCCATGTCAATGTCCGAAGGATCTAGTCCAAAAGACCTTGTGTTGTGCTTTGTTACGTTCTTGTTGGCAGCTGGGAAGCTGCCAGCCTACGAAGGGACCTGGAAAAAGAAGAGCCAAGCAGAAAGACATTCCTTCCCCTGTGTCTTGGGAGGCTAAACAGAAGGATCCGAGCGCATTCGCCCTCTTTAGAGCACGTGGCTTTCTCGACATTTGTTCGGGGTACACTGTAGAGCTTCCGCACACTGCTGTTTCTTCGTTCCACGCTTGTCTTACTCAGCGTCCCCGCAGCAACAGGGCCACTGCGGTATGTAGGTGGTTTCTTCAAGAAAATTCTGCATGATGCTCCATTTCTTGCTTCCTGGGGTATCTCAACTCGAAGAAGAGGCCTTTCCACGGCATGCTTCGCCTTGAAAAAAAAGGCCTCGCTCGTTGGCCATGCACCATGGGCCTATCGTTGGGCTACATGAGGGAGGTCCTTTGGTGCCCAAATCGTGGGATTCGGTCACAAGATGATCTCCACGTCTCAAACCATCCCCACGTCTCACACGTGTCTCACGTCACCTCACGGCGGAGACAAAGCCGCATGATGTTTGGATTTGGGGGGAAAACCGACTCTGGGAGGCTTTTCGACTCCTGATCCACATCCGATCCACATGGCTTCCTTCACCAGGACACCGCATTGAGGTCATGCATCTCGACGTTCACCGAGCAGCTGGTCAAGCCATGCGCAAAGAGCTGTGCCAAACGCTCCGACTCGCCGAAGTGGGAGACCCAGAAGATGGCCACAGAGGGTCCTAGAAGGACCACCAGGATGGACCCAGGAGATGGTCCACCTTCAATCAACCCCCTACAAACTGGAGCAACCCCTGAAATCCCTCCTCTATGACATGGTTTTAGGCATGGTTTGTCTCAGTTTCATATCTACAAATCACAAAACAACACCCTATGCCTAAGACTGGCCCGTAAGAATACTGGCTCTACAGGAAAGTTGAAAACATGCTGCCATTCTTGCGCAAAAGCTCTGTCAAATACATGTACAATCCAACATAGCAACACGCATCAACAAATCTCTTTTTGAACTGCCTTGAAAACCAGATGAACCAGATCCTCACGTCAGACACGTCCGGTCCCACGTCCGGCGTCCCTCAGCGTCCCAGTGGTGTGGTCGACCTACGTTCCTTACCGAGGAGCCGATCTTCTCAGTGGCCTTCTGGCTCCAGGAGCGGTAGAGCTCCACGAATTCGCTCAGGTTCTCCGTCAACATGGGACCATGGCCCGTGGCCACCGCCTAAGGGGGCACCGATGTTCGAGGGAGCGGTGGGGCCCTGGAATGGCACCCGAAAGCACCAAAACAAAAGGGGAGGTCATGTACTTAGAGCCCATTGATAGGAAAAGACTATATTTTGGAGGGGGTTCTGTTGGTGAATCGGTCACTCAGGTTCTAGGTGGGGACAGGGCGCAGCCCACATGACCCCAGTGGCGCAGCCGTCGCGAGGCAAAACGAAAAGGTTCGAAACTCCACCTTCAAGTCGAAGCCTTCGATCTTCTTGAGGGCAGTGAGCACAGAACGCGCGTTGGGCTTCATAAGGCAATCATAGTAAGTGGCATAGTGAGGAAGCAACTCCTTCACCCCTTCAACATCCTCAGGGTGATCAGAGCAATAATGCATTCCAAAGGCATCGCAAGTGTAGAGGAGCCCAGTCTTATGATCGAAGGTGAACATGGTATCAGGCCAGTGGAGATTCGGAGCGATGACAAATTCCAGCTTGTGCCCCTTCCCCAAGTCCAGTTCCACACCATTCTGCACCACTCGGCTCTTGAAGGGTCGGAAGACCAAGTTCTCCAGATATGCGATGCACATCTTCGAGCCAATGACCTCCAACTTCTCATTGCCCACCTCAGCAGCCATCTCCAAGACCTTGCCAATGAGACCGGAGTGATCTGGCTCGGTGTGGGAGACAATCAAGTAATCCAAAGTGGCCAAATCCAACTCCTTCCGAAGGGCGGCCGTGTAGAGAGCTTCGAACTTCTCATGGGAGGTGTCCACCAGAGCTGTCTTGTCACCCTTGATGATATAGGAATTGTAGGTGGTCCCTCGCTCCAAACGGAATTCAATGTCGAAGCGATCTCGATCCCAGTCGAGGGACCGGATGGTGGACGTCTCTTCTGCCACTGAATCGATGCACATGGTCTGCAAGCGATACTCCTTGCCAGGCGTAAGGCCGGTCCAGCTCTGCATCTCTGACAGCTGCACTTCACCCCCTCGGGCAGCCAAGGCGGTGCGCGGACAGCTGCCACGAGCGGCACCGCGGAAGCCCGAAGAGCCGGCGAAGACGGATGGCGAGCCAAGGTGCTGGCAATGAGGTGCTGGCAACGCGGCCATCGCGACAGCTTTGGCTTCCTCTTTCAGGTTCCAACCAATGAGGTCTGACGACTCCAGGACCGATCGAATATCAGTCTTCACCTTCTCATCCAAGACTTTACCTGCTTTGACCTCCGCATAAATCAGCGAGTGGTCTCCAGCATCCAAGATGGACACAGTCTGGCATTCCAGATATGCATGGCAACCCTCCAGGATCATACATCCATTGGTGGATTTTGCTTTCTTGTGAGCTCCAGCCTTGGCCAACTCAGCATGGCTTTGCCCTTCAGGTGCCAAGCTCAACACAAAGTCTGCCAGGCGTTGCTCCGAGGACTCCCCAGTCTCCTCCTTCTGCGAGGACTCGTCGTCGATCATCGCGCGGAGCGGCTCGCCGGGCAAGACCGCCAGGCGCAGCTCGTCGAAGGTCACCAAGCCTTCGTCGTAGGGATCCAAGAGTTCACAGGCCTGACCGCCGGACACGGTGGTTCAAAGCACTGAAGAGATGGGAGAACCGACCAAGACTGAACCGACCGTGGTGTTTGGACGTATCAAGTGGTGGTGTCTAGACTTGCAACAACACTTCTTAGCCTCTTCGTTCGCAGGGTTGTATGGACTCCTGAAACAAAAAGAACATAATGAATTGATGCACCAACAAGAACTGCGTCTGTCCAATTTTGCCGATTTTAATGTTGAATAGAAAAAGGATATGTTAATACATGTTGATCCATTTCGCAGTGATTCACACAGATTGGCAGGTCCACCGAACCCCACCTGGTTCACTCGTTCAGCATCGCTGGTTTTGAGGAGTTGCTCCACGATCTTTCGGACCTCATCACCCTCAACATATCTGGATCTCACGCGCTCGTGGTTTTTCAGGATCTCGTCCAGCTGAAACTCCGGCTCAATCGACTCAGCTAAGTCAGCTGAGTCGTCGTTTTCAGGTTTGGGAATCGCCAAGGTAAGGCCCAAGGGCTCAAAGGACGCCTGGTTCACCCAGGACACAGGGGTGACTTCCGTCTCGGAGCTAAGGACTGCCTGTGAGGTTCGCATCTTTCCAAAGGCCTTGCCAGTTGAAGACGTTGGAATTGGCGGTCGGAATGGTTTTGGAAACATCAAACAAAAAAGGAATTGTTCCCACCAGCTTTGGTTTCTGTAAAGGACTTCACTTTTGCACTCCCCGCCTCAAGAGCTCCACTCCCTGGCTTTGCCACCTTCGCCAGGTTTCGCGCCATCTTCTTCCGCTTCTGCAGCACATCGCGACAGAGCTTTTGGAAGAGTCGCACTCCCGACGACACGCACAGCTCCAGGGTCTCCTTACAACGAAAAAACAGCGGAAACTCTAAATCGAGCAGCAACTCGCTTCTAAAGTGGACAGGTCGATAAGAGCGACGGCCCGGCGGAGTTCATCGTGGGTTCCCCCAAAAGGCTGCACTGAGTCCTTTCCGAAACTTCTACGACCACAAGAAAGAACAAATTTCCACCACCCCAGCAGCTTGCAAAAACTGGGCCGCCACCCCAGAACCTCCACCCACCCACGTCGTCCTCAGTGGGTCGGAACTTCGCGCGGATGGGATCAAAGGCTATTGGGAAGCCGGAATCCTTCAGGCGGAACTGGAGCTCATCGACCGCCTCGCCCGACCAGCCAAAGGACCCAAAGACGCCACAGGGCCGCCGGCGATCGGCGGGCAGCGTCAGAACCACGCCCAAGGCTTCCTTCACCTGGAAGGTGGCTTTTGCTAAAGAGAGGCAAAAACGAGGCTGAGCTGGCAAGGGCGACCCGGGGGGATCAACTCGGAAGAATGAAGTCCTTCGGTGTTTTGATTGTCTGAGACTGTCTGATATACACACTTGTGTCTCTCAAGTGCAAAAAACCAACGGACAAGTGCAGGCGCAGTAGGCACTCTTGCATGTTGGTTGAGTTTCTCCTGAGTCGAATCCAAGTGCCAAAATGAAGCAGAACTGGGATGGCACCCAGAACGCCACCGCCAGCACAGCCCTGCGTGAGACACAGTGAGAACTTGGACACCTGGCACCCTCAAACGGGTCCATGGGTGTCGCGATGAGAAAAGAGAACTACTAGGGTAGATCTACCCCCACGCAGCGCAGGAGAGGCTTCAGGGCCACAGGCGCCTGTCCTCCCGTCCCATTGCCCGCAAGCAGCAAGGTCCCAACATCTCCAGCGCAGGTATGTTAGCTCCCGAATTGGCCTTTAAAAAACCACCCCCCTTCCTTGCGTGGTTGAGGTCTTACCTTTTGCGGGCGGCAGGACTGCCATAATTAAGTCCAGTTGGCTCCTCGCCATCGGACGTTTGCACGCGTCCAGGAGGGCCTACAGCCCGCGGGGGGGGCACTCATTTTCAGAGCCCAGGCGTCTGATAGCGTCTGCATGAGGGAGCCAGCAATCGCGCCCAATGGCGTTGGAGGTTGGCTTCACCAAGGTCTCCCCCTCCACGGTGAGCCCGGCTCCCTTCACTTGCGCGTCCAATGGCGGTTGAGGGGGCCGGGCAGAACTTGGTCCAGCCGGCCAAGCCGGGTCTCTAATCTCAATGTGCTCCATGCCCCTGGGTGATTTGGTGGTACCTGAACCCATCCCACCAGCTCGCTGACCGTCAGTTGGGCCTCAGGAAGATGTATTGGTAGGCACGGATCAGCCTGCGGTCTTGGCATTTGCCCCAAATGACTAAGTCACTACCCGTCACTATACACTATAGATGTTTCCATTGGAGTTTCAGCCGCCGGGACATCCAGGTGCCGGGGCTGCACTCCTCTTGCGTTGCCGAAGGGGTGGCTCGGCAGGTGGAGAGGTAGTGGGCCGTATAAGACGACATAGAATCCCCCACTGTCAGGCTTCGAAGGCCACATTTCCTGCACAGGAGCGGGTGCATCTACGCGCAAAGCAGCCATGGCCCGACTCAACTCCGCCAACTCCTCCTCAATGGAAGACGTCCGCGGATGTCAAGGACTCGGTGTCATCTGCCAGGGCATCGTCAACCCGGCCCGCAGTCTCGATGACCGCTTCTTCAACCAGCAAGATATCCTCGTCTCTGGTTTCCGCTTCCGAAGGTTCGAGGGTGAAGGAGGTCACCGTCTCAGCGCCGTCCAACACTGACCAGTCAAAGAACTCCCCAGTTTTGCCAGTTCCAGCCATAGCGATCAAAAAGGAGAGTAGGAGAGCGGACGTGAGCAAGTTTTTCACTTGAATCAAGGTTGAGCCAAAATGGCAAGGCATTTTGGCTAATGAAATGTATTAAAGGAACATAACCTGCTTTCCTCAGGCTCCAAGCACGTCTAAAAAATACTGTCGCCGCAAAACACTGGGGAATACCACAAGGCTTGTTTGCACGAATGATGTCTAAGTTCTTGCGCACGTATGCGGCGGTGAAGAGTGAACACACCCCACCTGGGATGGCATCTCTCCACCCAGTGTGGGACTGCCAATGCAAAAGCCATCTGCGGCCTGTAAAGCCTTGGAGACATCATCAGCAGTGCAGTGCTCCAAATTCATCTCGACCACCTGGTCCAGTTGACATCATGTCAGGGTGCCAACCCTTTCTGCCCCAAGTCTTGATGAAAAGTGTGCTTTTTGATTTCCGACCCTTTGTTTCATCCAAAAAGGCTCAGTATCGTGTTCACGGAAAAGGCTGGTCGTTTCCATCCACAGCTAGGGAAACCAGGCAAAGCAGCGCAGCACAATCTCACAATCTCGCCCACCTTGACACCCGACTGCGTGAGCCCTTTCGAGATGCTTTTGGCCAAGGTCTTTGTATGACCATAGGCACTAGCATACATGACCAACACTTGAAAGTCTCGACGAGTCTCTTTTCGCAACTTCTGCTCGGTCCAGGCTTCGTACCTACGCCGTTGGGGTTGGGGGAACTCCCTGTAGCTCCGAAGTAGCTCTCCTTACAGTTCCCTGAAGGAGTATGGATAGCTGGGGGTAGCTCTCTCCGCTAGCAGCCAGAATCTCTTGTTCCACCCACCTGCATTTCACCACCATACTCTCCAGTATGTACCTAGAGTGTTCTATATTCGGGTCAATGTGGTTCTTGGAACAATCCTTAGGTGAAACTCTTTAAATCTGGATTCGGTCTGGGAACATGGTGTTTACATGTATCGTCAGTTTTCTTGCTTCCTGAACCAAGGTACCTGTCAAAAACGAGCTGTTTCCACTCGGCTTTGTCATTAAATAGTTCTATGGTATTAGTGGAAAATGACCAGACACCAGACACCGCACTACCATGCTTTCCCTTCGGTGGAAGGCCGCACTTTGCCAATGGACTTTCACTTGAGCTAGAAGTCTCTAAAGCTAAATACAATGCACAAAGAACTGCAAAAGCTAGGCCTTTTCTTCAGGTAGAACCATGCACACTTCATCCAACCCATCATCCAGCCCCTCATCCAGCCCCACCCATCATCCCAGCCACTTGGCCATGAGCTTCCAGCATTGCTCCCGCACCACCGGCCCATGCAGCGGGGCCAGTTGCATCACGTCTGGCCCTTTGAGCGCCTCGCAAAGCATGAAAATCTTCCTGACCGAAGAGGCTGCTGACTTCGTGAAGAAGTAGCAATCGAACAAGTGATACCAATCCTGCCGGGGGGTGGCATCGACGCCCCCATCAGGGGGCGTCCATGATGAAGGCCGATAAAGAGATGATCTGGAGCAATCAATTTTTCACAAGTGTTCTGGGAAACGGAATTTGCCATAGTAGAGAATATCATCTCAGTAGTGATGACGCGCCAATCTGTCATAAAAGTAAATAATAAAACAAAACTGATCTTGAACACCCGTTCTCGGTCCACCGGGTCCTAACACCCGTCCTCCACATAAGCCTCCCATCCTTCGATCCCTGGGCTGTCCACCGGGCTATCCTTCTCACCAATCTCCTTGTGAGCGCTAAAAAATTTTCCAGTGAAGAGGCTCCCGGTGAATGGATCGAAGGCTGACAGTGCTTCTGGGAGCTTATTGGTCGGTGTCAGCACAAAGCGCATCACACGTCCCTTCTCAATCTCCAGCCTCATTGGTCGAGGTCACGAAGTGCGTTTCACACCTTTTTGTTGAGAAAACAAAGGCTTTTGGATCTGTGGATCTTGGAGGAGCCGATCCCGCGATTCTTCGATCGTCCAAACACACGATGAAGCGAGGATCAAAAAACGAGCTGTGCATCCAAGCACCTGGAGGTGTTCTTGATGGGCACGAAGCTGACTTTCTGCAGGGACGCCTCTGACAAGTTCTTTTTAAGCGCCAGAACTGCAGGCATTGACGTGTAGATCAGAAGGGAATCACCAGACCGTTTCTCCACCAACGCCTCAATGAAAGGAACCTATCGGGTCAACAGCTTTCAGCGTGTCATCTGACATCTGTGGGCATGGTTCAACATGAACACCCTTCACAATTCCCCCTTTTGACAAGATGGCCAACACCATGGACCTATTCAAAACGGGGCAGCGTTCCAAAACGGCCATGGCTGCACCGCCCAACTCTTTTGAAGTCTTTGGAATCGCCCGTTGGACGGCACCTGTCCGCCATCAAAGAACTGGAGCATCAGTACGCCGATCCGGTCCGCCAGTCCACTTTCTTGGGCCAACATCTCCGACATGAGCCCTCGGGTACTGTCCTCACTGAAGGCACCAATCAGCACCCAAGGATTCTCCGATGCCTTGATGAGATACAGGTTCTCAGTGCTGCCCTCGGCCAAATCGAACTCTTCTCCATAGCGATTGCCGCCCTTGGCATGGACGCTCCTGCCAGGAGCGCTGAGGAGCGCCTCCTCAAGAAGAACCTCCAACTTCGGGGGCCCTCCAAATAGGGTTCTTCCAAAGGCATTTCGGGGAGCCTATAGCTAAGTCATAGCTAAGTCCACTTAGCTAAGATCGGTAGCCCCACATGCCAACCTCTCTGTCCTGAACTGAGTGATATCTCCTGGCAACTCTGAGACCACTAACTTCACCTCGCCTGCTTCCACCAGCCCATCGGCCCAGTCCCCGATCACTCGGGTGGTCTCCGCCGTGTAGCGCCGCGCCGTCGACGGCGCGGTCGACCGCGGGGCACGGCGCGTGGCACGCGTGGCACGAGCGGCACAGCCCGCGAGCAAGCCCAGGCCGAGACCCAATGAAACTGGCTTCACGGAAGTCGAGCTTGGGAGATTTGCTCGTGGGAGGTTTTCATGATGACGCTTGGTCTCAGGGTGGCCTTCGACTTGGACAACCCAAGGCCGCACAGTCTCCATCGCTAAGAAAGAAGCAAAAGTCTTGAAAAGCGGCAGTTGGGGTGTTGATATGTCATGTATGATTGCATGAGATTACCATGGAGTTACAGAGTTGCGCTCATCCACACAGCCTCTGCTTCAGTGATCTCAACTCTTTGGTCTTAATCTTCCAGCCAAATTGGATTGGCAGGGTCGACTGGGAGCTGTCATGCGTGGCAAAACCAGTAAAATGGATCCTTCACATTCAGTGCTACAAGTCTCCTGCTATCTCAGCAAAATCTTGATGCACCTTTCTCTCCAAAAGCTTCTTGTATCAAAGGAGTGGTCATCTGAAACAAAAAACAGAAATGGGCGTCCCCTTCAAAACTCCATTCGTGGCGTGAAAAGAATCAGGGCGCACATGGAACAGCAAGCTGCCCCATCTTGGCCGAACCAACAGGAGAGTCAATTTCAAACGGGCAACACGGCGTCCGTCCTGAGTAACCTATGGATTTGTTCACTTGGATAAGCATTTCAGGTTTTCAGGTGGTGGCAGCAGCATGTCTAAATAGCATTGTCCCAATATGACAGCATTTCCCGCACCTGCGCTGCAGGATCATTTTCTCATGGCCGGAAAACCAAACGTCTTCGACCAAGTGAATGTGTGCAAGTGCATGTCCGAGGCGTGCTCCTTCGTGGTTTTTGTGAAACGACATATCTATCAAAATGGTGTTGCATGCGTCAACCCAAGATTGGTGACTGGTGTGATGGCATGGGAGTCCTTGAGTCCTTGAACCAAATTCCAACATTAATTACGTTTTACATGTGCTCCTTACACAACCTGGCACCCATCCGTTTGTGCTCCTTACACAACCTGCGGCTCCTCACTCCGATGAAGTCCTGAGATCTGCCGTGAGTCGCCCAACAACCACAATAATGTAGACTCTTGAGGTACATAAACCCCCCACACACACCCCACACACAAAGAGGTTGTTCAATCCAAATGGGGAAGGTGCAATATAATCAAGAGTCTACGATGTTGCTTCCTTGCAACATGAAAATCTGTCCGACACATCCTTCTCTCTCCACAGTGGAAAATTCCACACTCGACATGCTACGGAGATTGTTTCGGTTTGGTCGTCCCCCCGTCTGTGGTCTTTTTTTGGACACCAACCGTGTGAACTTTGACACCAACGGTGTGAAACGTCTCGCTTCCTTTCAGAGGTGTTCAAAGAACCTCAGCCAATCAGCTTCTGTCGGACTGAAGTCAATGGCCCAATCACACCAGGCATCTTCGGTTATTCTGTCAGTCGCGGTATGGACAGCTTCCAACACAGGCCAGAGAGCCTATCACCATGAAAAAATGGCCGCTCTTGAGCAGATCATGATCTCCCTATCGACCAAGGTCTGGAGATGAGAGACGTCCGAGCATTGGGAAACGAAACGCCTCTCTTTTTCAATTGAGACAACCACATCACCCCACATCATCCACATCACCCCACATCTCCGGCCTTGGAGAAAGCGTCAGTAGATGATCTTGGCTGAGAGCTTCAGCTCGGAGGAAGGGGAGACCTCGGGGACCCATCGAGCTTTCTAGCACGACCCAGAAATGAGAAGACCCAGAAAGCGGGAGGATAAATTTTTCACCTGAGGTTTATGTTGAAAATGACTTCAAAGTAGAACAGCTGTACATGTGGGGATCCACTGTAGCGCATCTCATCCACACACGTTCCGGTCGCGGGTGGGCGCGCGCGCGCGTGCGCGTGCGCTGGTGCACTGAGCTGATCCCAACCGGCTTGGACATCTCCCTTGCATCGTCCAAGTCTTCCAGGAGACCTCACGGATTGCGAAACGGTATGACCTTCCGTGTGACCTGAAAGAACGCTGATGACGCCGGTGACTTGCGATGCGTGAAGAACGCCGCTGAAAGGATGAAGATGGATGGGTGTGTTTGCCACTTTGGCGTGAATTGGCATGCAAAACCGGCAAAAACAGAGACGCGACGCGTCCTAGCTAAGTGGTTTGAAAAGCTTGATACCCATGTCAATATTAACAACTGATACCTTGTTTCTCTTCTCTGTCCCAGCCAGCCAAATGCTCAGCACACCCGCAGCCTGAAAGTTTCATCCGTTGCTCTTGGATGGTGGGCGTGCTGCTACCTGCTGGCCAGGGCGTAATGCCTGGAGCTAGGTGCGTAGCTTCTTGTTACTAGTAGTGAGGTGCCTTGCTCCTAGTAGCTATTTGCTACTAGTTTGTGTTGGTGCCTTGTTGCTAGTAGCTTCTTGTCAGTAGTAGGGGAGAATCCGAAATATCTGGATGCCGCCGGGCGAGACTTTGGTTCTACTTCATCGGGAGAAAGTGAAGATCAGGCTTCGTCGTCCATGGGTGTTTTCTCAGTGACGATGGCAGGACTGCTCTTTTGCACAACTTTCTACGAATCAGCACCATCAATCACTCACAACTCACCATGATCGGTTCTCTGCAGGTTTTTTGCCTCCATCTCTTGCAAGCCACTGGAATGTCCGATCTATTCCTCACGTTCCAAGGCGCGGGGCCGAAGAATCGATCCAAAAGGTGTTGAACCCACCGGGCCTTTCCCGAAGCGGGCGAGTTATCCGACCCGTCGGACCACCCACCGACCCGGTCGCGCCTTTCTTGGGCCCATCCACTGCCTGGGAGCTGTTCTCGGCACCGCGCATCATCTGGAAGAACTCCTCAAAGTCGATCTTGCCATCCTCGGTCCGATCCGAAGCGCTCAGATGGTTCCTCTCCGGCCCGTGGTTCGAAGGGGCGCACCCGCACTCGCGCGCGCGCGAGTACACACACGGGCGAAGAAGTCGAGTTTGTAGCACGGCGCCGTGGTTCGAAGTGTGACCGCTCACAGAAGATCCGTTACATGGGCCCCCTTGTTTCGAAACAGTTTCCGGTGGCTTGATACACTGGCCACTTGATTTTCTACACGCCGAACAAAAGCACGAGTCCTCAGGCGTAAGGCAGAAGAACGGGGCACGGACCTCATTGGGCATCCCCACGTGGTTTTGATCCACCTGCTCGAAGATGGCATAAACGTTGCTGATAGCAGAGCCTCACTGCTTGAGCTGGCACCAGTGGACGCGCAAGCGCGCCCTTGATCTTTTGGGTCTCTGAAGAGGCCGCTACGAATATCTGCGGACGTTGGACTCGTTTCTTTTTAAAGTGAAGACTCGTTGGACTGATGATGCTTTGGATGGTTCACTCAACCATCTGCCTCGTTCAGGAGTAGAACTACAGTATTCATCTCCAACTTTTGGGAGACTATCAACCCTGTCCACACCAAGTGCACACCACCCGTTCACCCGTCCCATCTGCAACCACCGAAGCGCTGTCTTTCAGGTTCATGGCTTCAGCCACGTCGGCATCACCAATGATCTGGCGGCCACGTCGGCACCGAGCGGAGTTGGAGCAAGGCACCTTACCACTAGTAGCAAATAGCTACTAGTAGCAAGGCACCTTACTACTAGAAAAGGATACAAAGAAGAACAATGATAGATGATCCTTTCGATGGGTATCCAGACAGGCCGGAGATCGATGGGCAACAAGTGTTTTTTAAACCTTCGAACCAAGCATTCACAAATGAAAGCTTGTTAGACTGCGTTCGTGCGCAGCGACCTTCACAAAACACGCTCGCAGCATTCCCTGAAAGTTGGAACGCAAAGCTGTGACACCCTACTTGGAGTGCAATCCACCCACCAGACATGGTGAAAGCTATACTTCTTAGCCTTAGCCCAACAAGATGACAAGCACCCACACCCGACCTGCTTCAGCTCCTTCAGATCGATACTGCCGTTGTTGTCGAGATCAAACTTCTTGAAGGCCGTCCAAACGATATCCTCCTGGCGCAGTGTCTCTATTGAATGGTTTTGTGTCATGTGTGTGTGTGTGTGTCACCTTTGGCAGCAAGAGCAACTGACCTGACTGTTCATTTCACCTGTATTTATCCCTCGTCCTACCTCATCCTACTTCACCACTTACAGGTTTCTTCCAACTTCATAAGCCCTTCATTTCGGCCGAACCCTTCTGACTCGACCCATTCCTTTTGCCTTCCGCAGCAGTTCCGCGCGCAGTTCCGAAGCGCAAATTCTCAAGCACGCACACCAAGCGCAAAACTGTCAACTTCTGCCATCACCCGAAGCGCAAAACAGTCGGACACACCTGAACATAAACCTTCTTGTCCAACGTCGCGGCCAAGAATTCGGTGTAGTCGATCACTCCCGACCCGTCGGTGTCTGCCTGGACAGCGCGCGGTGGAGACACCGCAGAAACACCGTGGTGGGACCGGGACTTCTGCGTCTTTGTTCTTGGGACCTTTGGATTCCTTGCTACTAGTAGCGTCTTGTTACTAGTAGTAAGGTGCCTTGCTACTAGTAGCTTCTTTTGTGCCTTTGCTTCTTATTCCTTTCCTTCTTCTTTTCTTTCCTAGCACACCCCAAAGTTCTGATTAGCCACGCTCTTTGTGCAAAATGTATGATGAGTAGGCTGTAGCACTGGCCAGTAGCTGCAAAAGGTGCAAACCCACAGCTTCAGCTATGTGTCTTTGCGAATCGAGATGCAGGTCATGCTTTCTTGATGGCTGTAGGTTGCAAACCTACAGATTAATGCGTCAGCGCGTCAATGTGCAAGTGATGATTTCTTGATGGGCTGTAGGTTGTCAACCTGCAGCTTCAGTGCTTTCTTGATGGGCTGTGCCAAGCTTTAGCACGTGGGTTAGCACGGTGTGGTGCGCGTCATGCTTTCTTGATAGGCTGTTGGTTGCCAACCTACGGCTGCACAACGTGCGTTGGCCCACCATGATGCAAATGATGCATGCACAATGAACTGCAGGCTCCCAGCCTGCAACTGTCAAGTTAAGTAAACTGGGACGATGTAGGAAGTCAATCTAATTACGACTTCATTATGCCATGCTAGCGGGTTAGGATGCAAGTCATGCAGTCTTGATGGACAGTGGCTTGCCAACCTACAGTTTCACCAGCGTATATTATGTCACAGTGCAAGCACAGGCTTTCTTGATGGGCTGTAGATTCCCAACCAGCACGTGGGTTAGCACGTTATGATGCGCGTCATGCTTTCTTGACGGCTGCAGAACGTGCGTTTGCCCGCCATGATGCAAATGATGATCCAAGTCATGCTGCCTTGATGGACAATGGCTTGCCAACCTACAGCTTCATGTCACAGTGCAAGTCTATGCTTTGGCTATGGCCACCCTGCAGCTTCAGCACGTGGTTTTGCACGTCATGATGCGTGTCGTGCTGTCTTGATAGGCCGTAGCTTGCCAACCTACGGTGTGTTGGCCCGCCATGATGCAAATGATGCATGTAGAACTGCCAGCCTACAACTGCAAGAATCAAGTAAATATTGGCGGTACGGCTTCATTATGCCGTGTTAGCGCGTTTAGGATGCAAGTCATGCTGTCTTGATGGACA